GCCCCCTCCTATTTAAAGATGCTTCCGGTTATAGTATAATACCTTCATCTTTTTTTGTTTTACTCAAGCTATTCCAATCATATCTCTGGTAACTGCTGTTTAGTTATTACACAGTTTATACTGTACAACCATCCAGTTTAAAACTAGGTCCTACTGCTAATTCTGTGCTGCAGCATACATAGTGGGATGTCAGATGTCTGTATGAAATATTACACCAGCCAGAATTTATGTGACCAAACCACATGCTGTTGTATGTCTCAATACATTATTGGTACCTTGAGACTTTTTAAAATGTATTTTAAATAGGTCTTCATTGGACAACAAATGAAATATCTGGCTTTCTGGATCCACACTATCCCATTGTGGCATGTGATTTTAAAAATCAGGACTGTTTTGTAATATTGGACCCCAAAGGTGCATGCTGGCCTAGACTTAGCTTAGCCAAGATGAGTGGGGTCTACTGGGCAACATGCTGCACTTTTTAGCATACAAGACATCCCCAAACGAGATACATACCTTGTTTTTGAAAGGCAGCATCAGGAAAAAAGATCTTTCCTTGAAAATACTGGTAAGTAGCAGTAAAGTAACTGAGTAGCAGCTTCTGCAGCAGGAACCTGTAGCAGCAAGTTGAGTAGGGGTTGGAGAGAAAGTATCCACAATTGACAGCTAGAGAGCCCCATGAGTTGCACTGCAGCCTTACTTTTGCATTCCCTGGCACAGGCAGAAACTGCTATTGCCATAGTTCCTTGCTTATAACATATTTCCCAGCAGCTGAGCTTTTTTGAGGAAAAAAGGTGCGTGTTGTATCTGAGAAAATACAGCATATGGTTTGGGACACAGGGCTGGTTTTGTTTCCTCTTTCCTCATGTGGGTACTGCTGACCTCAGTGGAAATAGCCATTTTGGAAAGAAAGGAAGGATGTAGTCCCATCTGAGGTAAAAACCAATGGGCTGCATTCATTCCTAGAGTAACTACTGAAGATGGTGGAGCTACGCTAGGGTGAAGAAGAACCAGCATCTCCACAGATTCACTTGTCCTCAAGAGCCCATACTAATCATCCCATTGCAGTATTAATTTTATATGTGGAATTAATGTTGGGACTTTGCTTGGATCCAGCTTCATAGATCTACTTGGTCTTCAAGCAGTGGGCCTGTGCGAGCCAGCTACCCCAATGGCCAACCTGTTTTGCTCTGCTCCCTGTGTCAAGGAACCAAGAGTAACACTTTGCAGGGGAACATTTTGCCCAAGGATTTGTTCTGTCAGCTCCATCAGAACTCACCAAACAAATTGACCTCTACCACCTAGGGTCAGGACCCTTCTCCCAAGGACCATCTTTTCCACAGCCTTTTCACCCACCAGTGGAAAGAAGTTTCAAGGTCTAATCTGAACCTGGATGGAAACAGCCTCATGCACTTCCCTTTCTCCTTCTCTGCATGTTAGTCATCTTACTTGGGGGCAATGTCTCTGTGGGATCCAGTGGGATCATCTTCCTGCAATCCATAGCCAGCCTCTACTGACAGGTACATCACCACCTATGCAAGACTTTCAGAAACTGCTGAGGCGTCAGTCCATTCTAATGCGCAGTGTGCGCTTCTGGCATTGGTAACAAGCACCACTGCTGTCAGAAACCAATGTTGTTTTTATTTCTTTCCCCTCAAGGCCTTGAGGAAAGACTTCCACCCGCACTCTGTACCCCAACTCCTTTTCTGTTTTGTAGACTTAAGACTTTCCATGGGCAAAGCCAAACTTCTGAGAACACAGGTGCCCTTCTTGGAATATCACCAGTCCCTGGAAATTGGGAATATTGTGGATCACCCACTGTGATTATACTTTAGTGAATTTTGTAGAACAAAGTATTGCTCATCCACAGATATACCTGGGGATCTCTCACACTCCATCAGTGCAAGCTGCTTTGCAATCTTAGGTCTTCTCTTAGTGAAAGAAACAGTGTAGCTAGAATGTGTCAAGACGACTTAGTATTTGTATCAGTCACATGATCCTAGTGTCCATTAGCTGCACTGTCAGCTGACATCTAATGAGTTCCGACTTTGGATAGCAGCCCACGAATCAATCAGGGGGAAAAGGATTCAAAACACAGGCTTAAGAGCACAGACAAGTCTCCAGAAACAGAAGCAGATGCATGAGATCAGGTGATAACAGATGTATTCCTCCTGTTCAAGTCAGCGAGAGGCTTTTTTTGGTCTGCGTTTTCCTCTAGGGAACAATCTGGCCTCGAGAGAGGTGGCGGGTGGCGGGAGGGAAATTATCTAATGGGTTCAGTGAAATTGCACTTATGCTACTGTAGAGCTGGTTGAAAACAAAACAATCAGTCCCACAAGATTTTTAAAAATGATTTCTTCAAAATATAGTTAATCAGAAAGACCCATACTGTTTAGTTTAATGTTTTGGGTTCTCTTGGCTATGTCCACATGGTTAATTTGCCATGCCCAGCTGTGTCACCCCCCAAGAGCAGTGTGCTGGCTCAGGCAGGTTGCCTCCTAAATCACAAGCAGTGCAGCCATAGGCAGTAGGTTGTCTGCAAGACCCAGGATTCCCCAGGGGTCTCCCATCCAAGTACTAGCAAGGCCCAGGACTGTTTAGCTTTCATGTTTAGTCAACATCAGTGCATTCAGTCTGTTATGGCTGGCCATAGATGGGCTAGCTAGGGACAGGCTAAATGAACTGTCCATTGGCAGTGCTCACTTCCCAAGTGAAGCATAGCTACGCTGATTTTGGTTTAGGAGACAGCTTTGGAGGAACAGTGCAGTTGACTTGAGGGCAGCCAGGCAGTATGAATTTAGGATGGACTGGGGCCTTTTTATTTGTTGAAACTTTAATGTATTCAAAACCCTTCACATTTGGAAAATTTCTACCAGCTCTACTAAATAGTGAGGACTTAGTGGCAGAGAATAAAAAGAATAGGAAAGGAAGGTAGAATTGGACTGCCATTGTCTCTGTATCAATGACAGTCCAGCACCAAGGGGAGATCGAGCATAGAGGCAGGTGTCTGGGCACCCATCTATATTGTTATGCCTCTGCTTTGTGCAAAGGTAGTTGTGGAATATCTTGTTTGCTGTGGTCAGTGGTTATGTGCAGGGATGGGCAGTGAGACAGGGACAGAGGCAATAGCCATATCATGAGAAAGGCTTTAGAACACATCAAGACCCCTTTGAGCTGTGTTGGAAAGCCTTGGTTCTTTAGTCACCATAGCACATCCATAATCCTTTACATCCTGCTGCTTATACTGGTTTGCTTCTCCTGCAGGAAACTTTCCCACTGTCTACTACTTTCCCACCCTGGCCTTGAACAAGTGATAGGCAGATGCTTCAGAGCCTCAAAAAACTAAAAGAGAAAAGGCACCAAATTAATCTGAAGCTGAAAAGGTCTGCCATTTGGGTTTTCCAGACCTCCAGGACTCAGAACCTGGAGGAAAACTGCTCTCCCTGAACAGAAGGCCCTGATAAATAATGCAGAGGAGAACCAGTCCAGCTGCTTTAATTTAGGACTATAACAGGGAGCCTGGGGCTCCTGTTACTTCAGGAAGGAAAAAAAAAACAGTAGCAGGCAGCCTAACCAGGGCTAGCTGCAAAGGAATAGGCAGCCAGAGGCCAGAAGCTGAGAGGAACTATTGCCATACTGGTTGCACAGCAGTAGTACTATAGGATAGAGCCCTGCCAAAGCAACAGAGGCACAGCTATGGTAGGTAGCTGGGGCAGCAGCAACAAGCTGTCCAGTAGAAAGAGAGAAGCAGCTGTGCCAGGACTAGCAAGTCACTTGACCAGGAGTGGGCAGGACTTGAGTGGCATATAAGCCTGGGCCTGTGCCAAGCCAGGTGATCTGGCCCTGGAAGCTGCAGTGGGAAGAGCTCTGTAGCTATAACACAAGCTGAGGTTTGCATGCAAATAGGAACTGGAAAGTAAGGCACTGAGGTCTGGCAGGGAGCTGGGACTCAGGATGGAAATGATTTTTGTTATGCAGCTAAGGGGTTATGGTTACAGTCACAGTGCTTAGGGTTTTGGTGCAGTTAAACTAGTGGTCTGGGAGGGGACTGAAGGGGATGTTTGGAGGTCCCAGTGGTAACTGAGGGACTTGTGGATACCTTGAGTCTTTCCAAAGGGTAGGGGCTTGACTGCAGCAAGAGAAAGAAAAAAGAGGAAACAGAGCTAGGGAGGCATGCCTAAAGAAGGGCATAGACTAGGGCCAGGGGCCCAAAGCCCAAAAGGGCTGAGAACTGCGGAGGGCTAATCAGCCCACCTCCCAAGAAGGGCAGGGAGAGGATTAGTGAGTCTGTTGCCTGAGAGGGGCACAGACTAAACAAGAATATTGAGTCCTGAAGAGACCAGATATTAGACTAGGGCTAAGTGTCCATGGAAATAAGCAACTGGTACCACCTGTGAGGCACAGGCATGGCTGTAGGGGAGGGTGGAGGCCACAACATTAGCCCTTAAGGTGATTAGTGCCTGGGGGCATGGCCAGACTATGGGGGTCAGAGGGCAGGACATCAGGGTTCAGGAGGAACCCACAGACTGAGCAAACAAGGGCTCACTCTGGGATCCTAGGGCAGATTCCTTTTTCACCAATCAACTATTATATCAAGGGTAGCAGGTGAGGGGGGAAAAGGAAGGGGCACCCAGGGAGCCAGAGTAAAGGCAGGAGTTGTGCAGCCACCAGAGGGTGTTATGGCTGGCCCTGGAGCCCAATCCTGTTAAAGAGACCAAAAGGCATTACCACTATAGAAAATGTTCTGCACAGAGACATTTGCTTCTAGGGCACTTTATAAACACTGGCTCCTAGTGCTGCTCCTGCTAAGGTCAATGGGGGCCTTGTCTCTGGTTTCAGGACATGGTTCTGGTTGCCTCTGGTATCCAGGTCATGGGGCACTCCCAGCCTTGAGGGGCTTCCAGTTGAAGAGAGATGGAAGCTGACTGTCAAAGTCCTAGATATCCCTGCGAGAGATCAGAAACGTGGGAGTGGGTCAGGGGCTAGCATCCTGCTGCTTGGCACTTGTGGACTTTTTTGAAATGATGGCTTCTCATGGCAGATGTGGAGGGAAGGCTGGTGTGTCAGGGTAGGGGATTGTTTCGGGGAAGAACAAAATGCGTGAGTCAAGCAAAAGGGTGTGGAAAGGACTGGACATTGTGAATGGAGCACTGTTCGCCCAGGAGATATTAGGCATGTGAGAGATGCTTAGTTTCTGCATGTGGCCTGGGCTCCTTAACACACTATCAGAGCAATAACACTGCTTCCCAGCCCTGTGCTCTGAGCTCAGTCTCTACTGAACAGATGTCCATCTCGCCAAACCACAATGGATAATGCAGCCAGAGGCTCAGAAGTGTAATTGGTACTAATGACTAAATTGCCTTGTGCCTCCAGGGAGGTTTATCCATCAAGGTCAGGGGTTGGTGTTGGCAGGGCAGTGGTAAGGCTCTGGCAGTACTTGCTTCCCTGGCTTGGGCTAGTGTGGATAAAGTGCTTCATAACTCTAGCTTCATTGTTCCCTCCGCCTCGCTTAAGCCTTTATAAGCACTGTCTCTGCACTGCTTCACACCACCCCTCACAGCCTGCCCCAGCTAAGCAACAGGGAAACAAGGCTAGAAAGCTTCATTTGCACTTCCATCGACAGATAATTTACAGGAGAAGGTGAAGGCTGGAACAGTGGGAAGGGCTCTGGAGAAAGGCTGAGCTGTAGTGACAGCACTCTGTGAGCCAGGTCTGGGATACCTTTGGGGTGGGGGCAGGGAGGCAGCTATAGGAGCAAGAGCACTAGCCCTCAAGGGTGGTGAGACTCCTGGTAAAATGCCAGGCCAGGATTAAGGGCAGTTAGCAGGACTGTGGAGAACATAAGTCTATGATGTAAAGTGGGGTTAGCTGTCCATCAGGGTTGAGGTGGATCATCAGGGCTTAGCAGTAGGAATCTTGCTTGTGCTATGCATGGTTCAGCCTGGTACTGCTTGTCCCTGCTTTTCAGAGCATTAAATTCATCCACCCACTCATGAAAAAGAAAGCTTGAAATCCACATTTCAGCCCATTCTGAGGTAGGATGCATGAGCCTCAGTCCTGTCACTTGGGCCCTTTCAGATGCTATGGCAGTGTCCAGCAATGCCCTACTGTCTCGGGGCAAACGTGCAAACCCCATGGGATACTTGTCTTCCTTGCCTGCCTCTTAATTGCCATTTTCCAGTACCTCTCTGGCTGGCTGAGGTTGCTGGCAGCAACACTTCTCCACCTGGCAAACCAGGCAGCAACATTTCTCCATCTCCCCTGGCATCAAGCAAAAGTTGCTCAGTGTGGGGCATGGGCAATGCCAGCACAAGCTAGAGGGAGGGGCTGAATAAAGTAATGAACTGTGTGCATGCCCCCACTACCCAGTTAAGGCTGGATATTGCCCAGTCCATTACATGTATATTACACTGCTGGCACACCACCTCAAGAATGTATTCAACTATCACTTATAGCAGAAGCTGAGAGATGTGGGCAGGCAGCCACCATGAAACGAATGGCCCTACGATCATATGCATTCAGCTCAGAAAAGCAGAAGCGCAGCTTGCCATCTGGTGCTTTAAGGAACCGGCTCTTATCCTCCATGCAGCTTGGATGGAGGATCTTAAGCGCACATTCAAAGCAAAAGCTCTCATGTTACTCCCAAGAGCTCCAAGCTTGAGGATGAGCTTTTGAACCCACCCCAAACTACACACACAGTCAGGTTTTGATGGTTTCCCAGCCTTTGGTCCTCCACACTACTGGATGTTGCATGTAGAGCACCTGGGAGCCTCTGGGCAGAGACAGCTGGAGCAGATACTCCTCCTCAAGGTAGAAACTGAGGGTCTGTCCTACCTACACTTTTGGTGTCCTATGCTACCCATGATCGCTTGTAGAGCTGAATGGATTGTTGACCATGGGAACTGTTCATTTGCTGAATTTGCCCTTTGTTCTCTTGTCAGTTGTCCAGGAGCTGACATTCATTTTTATTCACTCGCTCATTTTTTGAAATGGTTGGATGTGTGTGCACTGTCAGAATACCCACTTTGATGGTTCCTTGTTTATGGTCTGTGCCTGGCCACTTATGCTGCTCAGTTTTCTTTCTGCCCCCCTGGCTGGAGGACACCATTATAAATAGTGCTATTGTTGTTGCTGTAATGATTCCACAGATACGGCAGAGGCAAGATTTGGGAGCTGAGGTAATATCTTTCATTGGACCAAACCTGTACAGTTGGGAGAGAAAGCAGACAAGTTTGGGCCTTCAAGTATTCTGCAAGTAGCCACAGCCTGGATTGTGTATGCTTCTTTCCCGGATCTGATGAGGGGTGCTTGATGCTCAAAAGCTTGTCTGCTCTCTCTCCCAACTGTACAGAGCAATCCAGTAAAAGGTAGAAGTGTGCCACAGCAGCTTCATGCCCTGGGCAGCACTTGGGGCAGCACCATCTGCTGCGCTGCAGATGACATGGCCAGTTGCCAGCTGTGGCAGTAGTTATTTTTGTGCCCTCTGCCAAAACAAGTGCCCATGGCTGATGCCCCCAGCATCCCCCCTCGGTTATGCTATTGAAGAAAGGATATTACTTCCCCTCACAAATCAGCTTCTCTTACTTTTTTATAAGCTTGAGGAAAGGAAGTCAAGGAGATTTCAAAATGGCTGTCTTGACACATCTTCAAGCTGGCCGTGGCACCTGTACATGTGCATGTGGTATTCACGAGCTGTTAGTTTCCTGCCAATCTCTGGCAGGCCACAGGTAGAAAAGTTGTGAGTGTTCGAGAAGGTGAGTCAATACACTCTTTATTGTAAAATATATCCATGGCCCTGCTTTCCCCTGTATTTTCCCAGCTCAATCCAAAGCAGAGACTGCCAAACAAACCTATTATGCTTTGTGCAACTGCCAGAGTGTTAATTTGCAGCACATGTTTGGGGACTCATCCATGTCCCATGTTTAACTTATTTTCAGTGTGTAGCCCTGCTCTCCAGGCAGAGTGCTACTCTAATGCTCTAGGCACATCCATTTCCAGCACACATGCAGCCCTGCTGCAGACAGGTCCATCTGGGCTTTCTGGGAGCTGCACTTGCCCCACTTGGCTGAATCTGGACCTTGGGTTTTTTTCTGACATTTTTAAATGAAAATCTCATTGAATCCAGGTGTGTCATTTAAGGAAAAGTTTTGTATATGTAAGAAAAGAATATCACCTCAACATAAAGTACTAGGTGGCAGAGGATGAGTAACATGTTCTGGAGATGTTTGGGGAGGGAGAGCAACTTTGTGTAGCTGATGCCCTTAGTATGCCCTGCAGTGCAAGCTACCAGGAACATCCATGCGCCACTTGGGAGGGAGTGAATGCATTGATTTGCAAGGGCTGCAGAGTAGTGCATCTGACACCTCAAAGCCTGGCTGCTGCCACCAGTGATAACCTCACACTATCCTTTCTGATCTATAAGGCCATAACATCAAGCAGCTAAAGGCCCCACTGGCCAGGGGGCTGCAGGCAGCAGAGCCATGGATGTTTGTATCCGTCACCCAGAGCGAGGCACCGGCGGGGATATATCTAACAAACTCTTTTGTGAGCACTGGGAACAGTTTTTACTTTTAACTCTGTCAATATGATCTAGCTCTGTCTGTCTCTCTCTATATATGTACAAACAGTATATCACAATGTTGCCTTTTTTGTTGGGAATATCAAAGTACAAAGATTGTAAACCAAATCGGTGTAATAAAAGTTTCAGATGATTCACTGACTTGTCTCTCAGTTGCACATGTTTGCATGTCAGAGCCTGTGGGCACTGTCGGGCCACTCCAGTGTTAGTTAAAGGTCAGGGAGTGAACATTGGTTGACCCTGAACCATTCACAAGGCAAAAGGGTATTACCATGGCAGGCCTGCTGTGGTTCAGACCTCCTGCAGGAGGAATCAAGGGAGCTAGGGAGTCCCATGTGTGACCCCTTTCCTATTACTGTCCTTGGGTATCTAGGGTACTGGGCCCAACAAACATTTTCCCTCCAGCCCAGAGGAGTCGAGTGAGGCAATGTTGCTCTGCGCCTCTTACACAGATGCCTTGTGTTCACAGGGATCTTGCTCCTTTCTTGCTTTGATAGGAAGGATCTCACTCTCATAAGTCAAGGGAAGCAGTTCTGTGTTTGGCAAGACTGCCTGATGCTTTCTTTTC